AGCTGACTACAGGAAGCCCGAGGCAGAGTTGCTCTGCCCTGGGCTTCCTGGAATCAGCTGCTGATCAGTTTCAGCAGCAGTTGACTTGGGGACGCCTGGTGTTCTTACCTTGAATCTGTATGTAAGTGAAACTGGTGTCCAGATTCAGCGGCTGTTGAAACTGATCAGTTTCAGCAGCGGCTGATACCAGTTCCGACTTACATACAGATTCAACTTAAGAACAAACCTACAGTCCCTATCTTGTACGTAACCCGGGGACTGCCTGTATACAAATAAACCTTTCAGTGTTTACAAGGCTATACACTATCAAATCACAGCTGAAGACGTGTGTCTCTGAGAACCTGGACCTCAACGTCACTGTTGAAAATCAGTGATTCTATGAAACTCAGTTTAACTTGCTAAGGAGAATCAGGCCCATTATCTTTTGTCCAAGTTCTTTATGATAAAAACAGTGTTCACTGACAGCATTCACCCAACGTCAGAAGGAGCAGAACTAACCAATATATGACCATCAATAAAAATGTTTCACATGACGCACTCAGCTTTCTCATGTAGCATTTCCATATGCAGACCATTGTTACTTGGCAACAATGCAAAAGAAAATTGAGAAAAAAAGATACGGGGAAAAAAAAGCAATTACAAGTGGGCACAGGGAAAAAGACCAGGAAGTCAAGACAAGGATAAAAAACTAAGACTGAGAAAGATGAAATCAGAGGAAGAGAAACAGATAACAATATTACGTCAGAAGTAAAGACAAGGATAAAAAACTAACACTAGTATACCACATAAAATGTTCACTCTAAAATTGAAATCAATTATTATAATTACATTTTTGGTAGTCCACCAGACTACAAAGAAGTAAAATCAATTACCCTTATAATAATCTAAGAAGTTCTGAAGTAATAGAAAGCTGCACTTAAAAATTAGGATTCTTTCTTCTCTTGCTATTCACCTAGATAGTTGATTGTGTTGGAGCCTGGATAATATTTAATCCCATGCTCTCAAAATCTGAGGAGAAAAACATTTGGAATGTCCAGAATTAAACTTTCCCATATCATCTTTTATGGAATTTAAAATATTGATTTCTCATCTACATTTACACAATTAATTACCAGGTGAGCATGTAATTCTATTTAAGGATTAGCAATTAATCTAAAAATCAAGCAACATCCATTTAGCAATGTAGGAAATGTATCAAATTGCCAATTAAAAAATTACCATGACAAAAACACTTTTCATGTGTACAAACTGAATTAAATGTGATGTTATGGCACAATACCAAAACGACATGTCAAATTTTTGTTTGCAGGCCCTACTGACGAGAATGGAATATCATTTGAGATGCTAGAAACTGAACCAACAAAGTTCTCTGGTTCTACTGCCCTTATCACCTGGGAAATCAGAATGAGATACACAGAGAGGAACTTGTAATTTAAAGGAAAAGCCTAGCTAAGCTTGTACAGAAGCAGAAGATTAGGTGAGACTCAATATGCAGGTTGTTAGTTTTCTCTAAATAGAGTAGTGTACGGGCTCCTTTTTGTGAGATTCCCACCCAAGAAACGTAAAGAGAAATGAGGGTGGGAAAAGAGGAGGGAAAAAAAGTGGAAGCGGCTAAAGCCGATAGAGGTGCTCTTAGAGAAACAAGAAAACAGACAGAAAGTACAGCTGGTCTCACAACTGTGACAGTGTCTATAAATATATTTCACAGAGGTCAGAACAACTGATTTTTTCAATATTGTTCAACAATTTATCATTTATACACAATCTATTTTTTTGTTTTGTACAAGAGAAGAAAGTGTCATTAACAAAAACCAATTTTAAATTCTAAACAAAATTTGGAGCTATTTTACCTGTCAGTTAGGAATGCACATATAAGGCTTTTTGCATCTTTAGAGATATCATTATCATCAGGGAAGGTAAGAGAATTCTTATGGTTCATAATTTTACTATATGTTCCAACCAAGGAATCCGCATAAAATGGTGTATCGCCTGAAGAAATAGAAATAAAAAGTTAAATATCTCAATATAAAATATAAATAGCAAAAGAAACGGAAGTATAATTTAAAACATTATATTTCTTTATCATATTCTGTGCCTTTGAAGACACTCAGTGCTCATACTCAATTAAAAGTGAACACATTCTTCATTTTAAAACTTCAATAAAAACATCAAATAGCCCCCAGATTTGAATTGGATAAGCACATCACTTTCTTAATTTGATATTTGACATATAATATGCAAGTTTCAATTTTTGTGCACATTTATTTTAGACATTAATAAGTATTTTCAGACTCCATAGCAAATCTAATGCCTAAGGAAATCTGAAATATTCAATAACATCCTTTTAAATCACCTAAGGTTTTCAGACAGCGCTACAAAAGAAAACACAATGAAGATGGCTGATCAGCTGTTTGTCGGCTCAGGGCGATAGTCTGGACGCGCAGCTGTCGACATCAAAGGTATTTGTCGACCACCCAGGTATGCCTCCTGGGATGAGCTGTTTGTCGGCTCAGCGCAGCAGCCATGTAAATTTAAAGGAAGCGGCGATTATTTAAACCGCCGCTTCATTTTACTATGCCTGGTAGCCTAATCTACCTGCCTCTGGCGACAGAGGCATGTAGTCTAGACGTACCCTGAGTTAGTTGATCTTGCTGTGACTGATGGTTAGTTTATTTGCTCAATTATTTGCCTGATTTTGGTTTAAGTAGCATTTTTGGTGGGTGGCTCTTGCTACAATATATTATAGGCAAAATGACTGATATAAAATTATAGCTACATAAATATACTCAGATGTCATTGAGTTGGGTTCATCAATAACCACAGTAAATTAAGTCTTACTAATATAAGCATCGCATTTATAGGAAAAACATTGTGATGATTCCTTTTGTTCATATCAAACAAAATTGTTAAGGTGCTTACTGTTCTGTAAGACTTCAAGAAAGTAGTATTCTAAGTTTCTAAAATGTCCACTACTGAAGTGCTGACAATATTTTATTAGGGGGGGGATTCTCAGTTCCCACTCTCCTCAGCCTGTGATGAACAGGCACATGCATAACTATATGTTTGCAAAAAGAAAGAGAAAATGAATATACTCATTTATTTGCCCATTTTTTAAAAAATGGTCTCTCATAACCATGACCATTAACACTGGGCCAAGCTATATGAAGTGCACTATGCTCAAATTTTTATATCGTTTCCGAATAATAGACCAGTGTATAGATACAGCAAATAATTCAACTTGTTTCATCTGAAATGAGAGAGAAAGTGAGTTAAGAACTTCTAGGATCACCAGAACTAGGCTTCCTTGCAAAACATCTTTGAAAATACCTGCTACTTGATGCATTTCAGTGCATTCCACAGGCCATCCCATCCGCCCCCTCCCCCCCGACAGGGAAGTTTTTGCAGTATCTGCGATAAGAATAAAAGTACATCAGAAGCCAGGAATTCTATCTATACAGGCAGTCCCCGAGTTACGCGGATCCGACTTATGTCGGATCCGCACTTACGAATGGGGCTTTCTCGCCCCGGAGCTCGCAGGCACTGGGACCACCCAGAGGGCAGCGGTCCCGCTACCTTGACCTCCGGGGCGAGAAAAGCTGCTCCGGGTGCCTCTGGTCTGCTGGAGATGGTCCCCAGCAGACCAGAGGCACCCGGAGCAGCTTTTCTCGCCCCGGAGCTCGCAGGCACTGGGACCACCCAGAGGGCAGCGGTCCCGCTACCTTGACCTCCGGGGCGAGAAAAGCTGCTCCGGGTGCCTCTGGTCTGCTGGAGATGGTCCCCAGCAGACCAGAGGCACCCGGAGCAGCTTTTCTCGCCCCGGAGCTCGCAGGCACTGGGACCACCCAGAGGGCAGCGGTCCCGCTACCTTGACCTCCGGGGCGAGAAAAGCTGCTCCGGGTGCCTCTGGTCTGCTGGAGATGGTCCCCAGCAGACCAGAGGCACCCGGAGCAGCTTTTCTCGCCCCGGAGCTCGCAGGCACTGGGACCACCCAGAGGGCAGCGGTCCCGCTACCTTGACCTCCGGGGCGAGAAAAGCTGCTCCGGGTGCCTCTGGTCTGCTGGAGATGGTCCCCAGCAGACCAGAGGCACCCGGAGCAGCTTTTCTCGCCCCGGAGCTCGCAGGCACTGGGACCACCCAGAGGGCAGCGGTCCCGCTACCTTGACCTCCGGGGCGAGAAAAGCTGCTCCGGGTGCCTCTGGTCTGCTGGAGATGGTCCCCAGCAGACCAGAGGCACCCGGAGCAGCTTTTCTCGCCCCGGAGCTCGCAGGCACTGGGACCACCCAGAGGGCAGCGGTCCCGCTACCTTGACCTCCGGGGCGAGAAAAGCTGCTCCGGGTGCCTCTGGTCTGCTGGAGATGGTCCCCAGCAGACCAGAGGCACCCGGAGCAGCTTTTCTCGCCCCGGAGCTCGCAGGCACTGGGACCACCCAGAGGGCAGCGGTCCCGCTACCTTGACCTCCGGGGCGAGAAAAGCTGCTCCGGGTGCCTCTGGTCTGCTGGAGATGGTCCCCAGCAGACCAGAGGCACCCGGAGCAGCTTTTCTCGCCCCGGAGGTCAAGGTAGCGGGACCGCTGCACTCTGGGTGGTCCCAGTGCCTGCGAGCTCCGGGGCGAGAAAGCCCCATTCGTAAGTGCGGATCCGACATAAGTCGGATCCGCGTAACTCGGGGACTGCCTGTAGTCCCTTTAACTTAGTAACAAAATCAACAATGCTAGCCCACAAAAGCCTACTGATATAATATTGCTGGTGCTTAGGTAAAGCACAATTTTTTTTGTATATATTACAGTTATGGGCAATCTATAAAGGCAGGATAACTCTGAAATGAAGTTCTTGAGAAACATAAAAATGTAATGTTAAACTCAGGTGGTAAGTGTAGTCATAAAACACTGAAAATCTTGTTACTCACCAACAAGCATTTCATACAGAAAGACCCCAACTGACCACCAGTCACATTCTCGTCCATAGTAACCATCACCACCTTGGGATTTTAGTACTTCAGGAGAAATATAATCTGGTGTTCCAACAGCTGTATCACATCGTACCATACCTTCCTACAAAAAAAACAAAACAAAACAGTAATGTTCAAATGTTTATATTTGGAAATACACAATATTTTAAAGAGATATTTATCATCTAGGCAAATACTCTTTTCCTAAACAATGGAGACTCTGACAATGTTGGTTTGAGATGGGCATTTTAGAATTCTAAAAATATCTCTCGAATGCAGCACACAACTCTTGATCTGCCAAAGATATATTTTAATGCTATTAAATAACTATTCAGCATATCTGAAAAAATCCACAGTAACACAAAAACTAAATATTGAAACTTGAAATGTTAAGATGACAAACTAAATAAGGGCTAAGAGCTGGAAGGAATGTTCCATGACTTCTTGTGCCAGTGGAGAAAGAATTGACAAATCTGGGTCAGTCTTTTGGCTGTGATTTAGAATACTGGATTCATAGTCTAAACCAGGGTGGGGAACCTAAGGCCCAGAGGCAAGATCCAGCCTCCAGGGCTTCTACCCCCCCAGTACTGGGGTGCTCGTGCTGGCAATCCAGCTGCCACGGCCCCCCACCCAACTGTTTTTTTTCTGTGGTTCAGAAGCCCCCGACCCAAAAAATGTTCCTCACCCCTGGGTCTGGCCCAGGGTAGGCAATGCTTTTTTTTTTTGGGGGGGGGGGGGGGTGTCAGATTTTGGAAAGTGGTAAAGGGCCGCACTTTTCTGTGGTGGAGGTGCTGGGTCTAGGACGGAGACTGGATATAGAAGGGCGCACGGGTAAGGGACTGGGGTGAAGGAGACAGTATATGGTCTAAGGGGGAGTTTGAGTGAAGGAGGGAGTTGTGATCTGGGTCAGGGAATGGGGGTGCAAGGTCTAGGAGGGTGTCTGGATGGAGAAGAGGATTCTTGCCTGAGGAGAAGTGTAGGAGGGGGTACAGAACCTGGGAAGAAGGAGTTGTGACCCAGGGCAGGGGAGTGCAGAGGGTTTGGATGGTGACCTGGGGAGGGAGTTGAGGTGTGGGATGGGCAGGGGTGCCAGAGACAGGCTATGGCTGGGAGGTTCTTAAAGCGTCTCCTGGCCAGCACCCCTAAGGCAGGTTGGGATCCCTGCTTGCTACAGCCCCAGATCACTTAGAGCTGCAGTTTATTCCCTTCATGCAGCTTGGGGGTGGGAGGGGGGAGAGATTCACTGCCCCCAACCCCAAGGCTAATCTCTCAGCTCCTATTGGCTGGTTGTTTCCTGGGGTCAGTTCTTATTGGCAGCTTGTATCTGGCCAATAGGAGCTGAGGACTGGGCTGGGGGCAGGGAGATCACATGAAGCCTCTCCCTCCCTCCAGAACAGAGAGCCACCTGGCTGCATTTTAAACCTGCGGCAGTTGTGTGCCTGGGTGTCCCAGCAGGGCCACCTTAATCTTACAAGTCTGAAATGATTCTAGGCTCCATAGGACAGGGCTTCAAAGAGGGGATTTGCAGAGGCCATTTCATAATGGAAGACTGCTGCTTATAACTATATTTTGCTTAACACATCCAATTTTAAACTAGCATTGTAAATGCAATTTTTTTTTCAGAGTAAAAGTAAGTGTATCCCACACACAGAAGTGCCTCTGCAACACCAGTATATGCGGGAGTCTCTTTTCTTCATCATAATTCATCACTACCTTACTGTTCCAAGTCTACAAATAATTAAGCTTAACATAGAGCCAAATTCATTCCTAGGAGATCCCAGTGAAGCCACTAAGGTGAGGAACTGATCACACATACTTCATAAGTCTGGCTTTATTTGTAGGAGCTCTTATTGTCTTATTTATTGTAAGCAAATTCTTCATTTAAGTATTCCTGAAAAGATTTAGCAGGTGTGCTGGCTCAGTGACATGTGGCATATCAAAGATCACTTATTTCAAGGTTTCCCCCCATCCCCATATGTTCATATATGCAGTACTGTCTGACAGAAACCAATTACAACACCATTTAGGGGGAAAAAAAGTTTCCGTAACTGGCATTCTTCAAGATGTATTGCTCATGTCCATTCATTGTGCGTGCACTGGTGCCCGCCACGTGCACTGGTGCCGGATGGTTTTCCCTCAGCAGTACCAGTAGGGGAGCCAGCCCCTTGGAGTGGTGCCCTTTGGAGTGGTGCGCACATGTCGCTCTTTATAGGGCACCTCTGGTGTCCTCCACTCTCAATTTCTTCTTGCTGGACAACTCTTGACAGTGGGGAAGAAGGGTGAGAAGTTGAATGGACATGAGCAACACATCTCGAAGAACACCAGTTATTGAAATAGGTAACTGTCTGTTCTTCTTCGAATGAATGCTCATCTCCATTCAACATAAGTGACTGCAAGCAATATGTCTGGAGATGGGAAGAGTCCACTTGCATGCTGACTGCCACACAGCTCTTTCAAAGAGGCAGCATCCTCTTGGGCTTGTTGCAGCATGGCATAGTGCATGGCATAGTGCATGGTGTGTACTGAAGACCAGGTTTGTAACCTCACCAATGTCCAGGATAGGAACATTGGTAAGGAAGGTCACAGAGGGGGCTTGGATAGGTCACAGAGGAGGCTTGGACAAGTGAGTCCTCACATGAAGAGATAGCATGTACAAATGCAAGAGGTTATCCATTTAGAGATCCCTTCATCCACTTAGCATAGGCAAAAAAGAGCTGTAGAGATTTGCAGAATGGCTTTGTTTTGACAATGTACAACGCAAGAACTCTGCGAACATCCAGGGCATGCAACTGCCTCTCCTCTGCAGTTGCATGAGGAATCAGGCATCAGTATGAAGACTGGGAGTAAAATATCCTGACCCATATGAAAAGCAGAGACCACCTTAGGTTGATACAATATACAGCTAGTATAAGGTGGATGCGTAACTGGTTGGATAACCAGTCTCAGAGAGTAGTTATCCATAGTTCACAGTCATGCTGGAAGGGCGTAAGTGGGGTTCTACAGTGATCAGTTTTGGGACTGGTTCTGTTCAATATCTTAATGGCAAAGAGAGTATGCATATAAAGTTTACAGATGGTATCAAGCTGGGAGGAGTTGCACATGTTTTGGAGGATAGGGTCATAATTCAAAATGATCTGAACCAACTAGAGATAGAGGATAGAGTCCAATAAGGGCAAATGCGAAGTTCTCAAAAAATGGGAAATGACTGTCAAGGAAGGAGTACAGTACTGCAAAAAAAGATCTAGTGGATCACAAGCTAAATATTAGTCAACAGTGTGATATTGTTGGGGGGGGGGGGGGAAATCACCAAATTTTCTGGGATGCATTAACACGAGTGTTGTGAGAAAAAGACACAGGAAGTGATTCTTATCCTCTACTCTGTGCTGATTAGGCCTCAGTTGGAGTACTGTGTCCTGTTCTTGGCACCACAATTCAGGGAAAGATGTGGAGAAGTTGGAGACGGTCCAGAAAAGAGCAAAAAAATTATTAAAGGTCTAGAATACATGACCTATGAGGGAAGACTGAAAGAATTGGGTTTCTTTAGTTTGGAAAAGAGAAGACAGAGGGGACATGATAGCCGCTTTCAAGTATCTAAAAGGAGGAAGTATCTTACAAGGAGAAAGGAGAAAAAAAATATTCACCTTAACTTCTGATGACAGGACAGGAAGCAATGAGTTTAAATTGCAGCAAGGGAAGCTTAGGTTGGAAATTAGGAAAAACTTTCTGCCAGGGTAATTAAGTACTGGAATAAATTACCTAGGGAGGTTGTGGAATCTCCATCACCGGAGATATTTAACAGCAGGTTAGAGAGACCTCTGTCAGGGATGATCTAGATGGTACTTGCTTCTCCCATGAGGGCAGGGAACTGGACTTCGCCTCTAGAGGTCCCTTCCAGTTCTAGTATTCTAGGATTCTATGATTGTCCAAAATCAGAGACAGCGTGGAAAAGAACATTGGACTAGAAAGGAAAAAGGGAAGACATTATTCAGCACACACACAGTTTCCTATATTCCCCTGCACTTTTGCCTCCAAAAAACTGTCATGGTTTCTGGGTACACAAGAGACCCTATCCAGGAATATTTTGAAGAAATTCATTCCCTGGGTAAAAAAGGAAAATGTGTCAAGTGTAAGCCGACCAGGAAGAGGATACAGAACCTACCTTCAAGAATGAAACACAAGGAAAACTGCTTATTGGGAGAAAATGATGTAGATATTTCTGAAGGACAAGGTGGATCAATTTTTGCAATGCATCATTCTTCAAGACACTTTATGCCTTTTAGTATAAGTGTGATTTAATAAGTAAATTCCCAAACTGTTTACTATGTTGGATGTTAATAAAAAAAAGTTTGGCTTAGCTAATCTTTATGGCTTATTTAATTAGTTAACTAGATTTAGAATCTATCACCAAGTACAGTACAGAAAGCTAGAGTTGCCAGTTGCCACTGAGTGTCATTTTCTTTTTTTTAAATACATAATATATGCCTCTTATTTTGGAACATCGTGGTCATACACCGTAATAGTGATGCCATAAGTATATTCCCTTTTTAACTTCAGTGTAACTCTGCTTTCTCAAAGGAACCCCATCGCATACTTGTTTTCAAAGGTGGTTACTCCAAAATTAAGTGCACTCTTAAATACAGTCTTAGCTTTCTTGGTAACTTGGAATTAGATCTCACTCAAAATGACAGTGAAAGTGGAGGAAGATGAGAGCTAGTTGTAGAAGTTTTAAGGACACCATACATTTAGTGTCTTGAGGACTTGTCAGTTAAGAGTTAATAAAATTTGAAAATAAAAAAAATAGTGTTTAAGGACAGCCATCAGCCGCCAACTCAGGATTCTCTTTAACTGCAAATGTGAAATATTTAACATTCAAAGTTTTGTTTAGTAAAATGTAAGTGCTAATGAGTTTGTGTGTGATTTAGTTCTTACCATTCCTAATATATTGCTGCTGCATCTGCAGCTTGATACAAGTAATGAGTATTATGCACTATCTAAAAAAAAAAATACAATAGATCCTCTTATATGCTGTACTAAGATGTAAATTAACATGTTCGCAATACTGTTTGAAGAAATGTGATCAGTGGAAAACTTGATTTAAAAAAA